TGGTACCAGTACATGCTAGAATGGTACCAGTACATGCTAGAATGGTACCAGTTGTTATCTTTAAATGATGATTCTGTTATGAATGATATCAGGTGTGTGCCGGTATCACATATACAGTGTGTAGCCATGGTACAGAATTACTTCCGCTCTGAATTAGGAATATTGTAATCATGTTTTACATGAAGGCACATGCAAAGAGGACCGCAAACAGGGAATCTTAACCAAATAAGACAGCCAGTCCTCAAGAATCAAATAGAGTCGTACTAAGATGGCTACGATAAGTGTCAGATGCAGTTAAATAGGCAGAATACATTAATAGATATATATATAAGTATAAAACCAGTGAGATTTATATAATAATGAAAATTCTCATGAATAATCATTTATATGTGCAGTTGACAAGGAAACACAAATTTTGATCCAAAAAGTATTGCTACTAATAATTAGTGAAAATAAATTTAAGTTTTAGAAAATCCCCCAGGCTCCATTAATTTTTTTTTATTTGACTTAATTTTTTTGGAATAGCCTACTAACTCTTGCGGGGTCCATTACAGATACTTGTCTCCCACTAATTAGTATGTATTAGTATGTATGGTAATTATTTGGTGCATCACCTGAAATGGACAATAAGGACTAATACAGTGGTATCAGTGATTGCATTGCTTAGACAAGGAATGTTTAAATTCAAAAGGTGTGTCTAAGCTATTACCATAGGATGGTCAACAATGATATGAAATAGTGAGAAGGGCAAATTTTGTCTAAGTCCAAGTACTGAAGTACATTTGAGGAGAGCATGTAGCTAGTTTACATTGTTTTCTAAATATCTACATTACTGTGCCTGCCTACACACCCATTGAGCTTAAAAAATGAAGTAGTCTTAGTAGTATAAATATCTTGGTTAAACCATTATAGCAATATAATAGGGGTGAGTAGCTTAGTTTTCACCACCACAAATTGCAAGAAGTATTTTCTTGTAGTCTCCAGATGTGTCACCCTATAAAGAAACAAAACAAAATTATTAAAAAAACACATCAAAAATATTCAATGACTAAACACCAACCCATGGTTGAACTAAATTGCATTAGATAAACAAAACCAAATAATTGTCCTTGTTTTGAAAAAAATAAAGTCAAAAATGTATATATCGACCATCAAAGGGACTTGGTGTTTATAGGCAGGTGGTCTTTATATTGAGGTTGGAATATTTTTTTTGGGATCACCAACGTGCCAAATACATTTAACATTATATTATTTGTCTACAAAGTAATGAGATGGTTCTATTGCAACATAACACATTTATTTCAGTTGATTAAAGTAAATAAAAACAAACAAGTTTTAATTGAGGAAACTATTGATAAAGAGTAGTCATATAAGATGGAAGATCTTTCATAGATTAGCTGCTCAAACATTATGCCTTGGGACTGCCTAAAAATGGTCACTTCAGTCAGGTGGTCTTTATATAGAGGTGGACACTAACACAGGTTTAACTGTCCAATGAAGGTCACTTCAGTCAGGTGGTCTTTATATAGAGGTGGACACTAACACAGGTTTAACTGTCCAATGAAGGTCACTTCAGTCAGGTGGTCTTTATATAGAGGTGGACACTAACACAGGTTTAACTGTCCAATGAAGGTCACTTCAGTCAGGTGGTCTTTATATAGAGGTGGACACTAACACAGGTTTAACTGTCCAATGAAGGTCACTTCAGTCAGGTGGTCTTTATATAGAGGTGGACACTAACACAGGTTTAACTGTCCAATGAAGGTCACTTCAGTCAGGTGGTCTTTATATAGAGGTGGACACTAACACAGGTTTAACTGTCCAATGAAGGTCACTTCAGTCAGGTGGTCTTTATATAGAGGTGGACACTAACACAGGTTTAACTGTCCAATGAAGGTCACTTCAGTCAGGTGGTCTTTATATAGAGGTGGACACTAACACAGGTTTAACTTTATTCTTAGATTATTTCCACAAAGTGCACATTGGAATGAAAATTGCTTTTTACTGAACCCCCCTTATGTTATAGGTTAATCTTATGATACCTGCTTGTGTAATTATTTGAAGAAGACCATACAACTTGGTGAGCTATCATACTATCATACTATTGATCAGTTTTCAAGAAACTTACGGAAATGTATTTGCCGAGACCTTGCTGATATGTTCGCTTGAACTCGTTCTTTATTTGTACCATATCTTTCTCACAACGAGACACCATCACACGGATCAATGTCGGATCATCAGTTCCAAGACCCTGTAATTAGAAATAGATTATTGTTCACTGTAGTAAACTCAGTTTTATACACGAGAAATTTTAAACACAGTCATGCCTGGGAAAACAATTTCACTACAAATGTGGAATAACATAATTATAGAATTTATACCAATAAAATGGTCGACATTCGGCAATTTTGAATTGGAATGTGGCATGCATGCATGTGCATGTATATGACATGATATATGCTGTATACATAAAGTTTGAACAAGATCGAAGAAGTCATGGATATGGCTTTTGAACAGCATCCATTAAAAGAAAATGGCTGCAAGTCGGTAATTTTGAATTTGGTCTGAAAAAACAAAATGATATCCATCAAAGTCCTATAATGCCCAATATTTGTACAAAGTTTGAATGAATTCCATTCATACATGACAGAGTTGTTAGTTCCAGAATTGCACAAATAGGTTTGAAGCATGAAATGGCCGTCAATCGGCCAACTTGAATTGGATCAAGAAATAAACAGATGTGCATATGTCTCCCAAGATGTATGAAAGATACAGGTGGGAATAAATGGCCACATGTATGTCAATCTGTAAATTCCCATTTTCAGACTTTGTCTCACGCCATGAATTGACAAATATTTGTTATCTATAGAGATCAAGAATGATGTCTTACCTTCATAGATTTGTACAACTGCTCAGCAAAATAAAGTGCTTTGTTACGAACAACTTTCACTGCATGAGGAAATAATGAAAAAGCAATGAGCAAATTATAGTGAAAATAGGTTGATTTTTAGACGTAATAATTTCAACAAGGTTTTTTGTGCAAAAAAAGCAATCACATTTCCTTTTTAGCTCCGCTGTCGACTTTGTCGAGCGGAGCTTATCATATGAGTGATTGTCCGTCATTGTTCGTGTCAATGTTTTACTTTTTCGACTTCTTCTTGAAAACTACAAGCCTGAATGCTTTGATACTTAGTGTATA